CTCTTTCCAAGTATAGATGTTTTGTCTATCTTCAAGAAAAGAATGATGTCCAACTTAATATGACAAGTACTGTATTACAGCATGGACAACTCTTCCATCTTTCCGGAGGTCTAATGTCGAAATAAAGCTAAAATTTCCAAAATCAAATGTAGCCCCTCATCCCAATTCATTGCAACTCTAACAAAATGTAACTAGACAAATTAAGTGATCCTTTTCACATTATCAGTACCCTTCTTCAGTACCATACCTTGATGCTTGAGAGCCACATGTACAGTTGGTGCGTGTGCCAACAACAACTGCCTTCTCAAGCTGTATCGATATCAGTATGATCTTCATTATATCATCAAGAACGTTAAACAGCATCCAAAAAATTAGTCCTAATAAGAAAATCATGCATTTTCAGTCCCACGGAAATTAAAAACACCAAGAAAAAGTTGGACTTTCAATGAATACAACTTATTCCCAGTTTAGTACTGCCATTCAAAAGCGCTTCAGCTTTGCACTAAGATAAAAACAGCTGTTTGCGACAAGATTTCTAAACACATTCTGGCAAAGCAACTTATTTTGGGGTTAGATTCTATAAAATAACTTTTTTTTTGCAGCTTTACCAAATACTGACAACAGTATATAATTAGGCTTTTCTCCAAGAAGATTATACGTCAAAATTTGAGACCCCGAAATCCAATTTGGAATTAAAAGACAAACATCTTTAGAAATCAATTGAAAGCTTCCGTGAGTGAAATGAAGGCAAGTTTCCGAACTTAACTTTCCCGGACAATCAAAAGTAAAAAAGAAAAGATCATACCCATGGATAATTGCAAAGATGATAACACCATCGCACCTATCTGATCTTCTCCGACATTCACTCCAAACCAGGGTACACTTGTGTATAGTGAGAGCCAACCCACCCACCAAGTGTGGCCATTTCTTACCTTAGAAGTGGATGCAGATGTGAGAAGATATGAACAGATTCAAGCATTTGTTTAGTGGCAAGGACCTATGTGCTGGCAAGCCAGCCCCACAAACAAATATAATATGGTAAAATGCGTCTATATCAGTTGCCAAACAAGTTTAAACATAAAATTTCTCAACTAACAAGGAAAAAAAAGATTTGAATGTAGAAAGTTGGAAAACAAGCTACTTAACACCCAACGAACTGGGGTAAGTTTTAGAAGGGAGCAAAAAACCGAATGTCTGAAGGATAACAATAATTTCAACAAATGTTCAATCCATCGTTGAGTTTGGAGAAAGAATTATAATTTTCTCGACCAAGATCTTTGGGAATATAGAAAATAGCAAAATGGGTGGGAAAGATAATGGGATGACAAAAGATGAAACTTCTTCAAAGTTGTTCCTAATCATATTTTTTATTCACTTTCAGTCCCCAGCCAGAAAAACTCCAAAGAAAGAAACAAAAGGTGAGAAAAATGAACAGAAGAAACAAATGGTACGTGAGAATTAATATGTAAATAATATCAATCACAATCACAATCTATAACCATAAAAATGACAACAGATACGATAAATCCCCAAAGCATATGCCCATTTGGTACAAGAACATTGTACTTCTGAAAAAGATGATAGTAGTCCTCACAAATCAAGGCTGAATGCCAGACACAAAAGTAAAAGTGTAACTTATCTCACGTCAGTTATGCTTTGTAAAATAAAAGAATTGAAAATTAGGGAGAAAGAAAAAATGGTCCACAACACACTTGAAAATTATTATAATAAAGTTTTCTCTGCCCCAAAATTCACCCGTTCCTCAATATTCCATAAAGGAATACGAGATATAACAAGATTTCAAAAACGTCAGGGGAAAATCTACTAATATAAGGAGAAAAAAAATACAGGTTTCAGAATCTGGTTCTTTAGAAATCAAATAGTGACTACAATTACAGATTAAAAGATGCATTTGAATATTGGCTGGTACTTCAGAAGAATCAGCGGAGTCCAAAACTAAATGATTGATGCATCTTATGAGGGTATCTGCACAGTGAATACATAAGAGTAAAAAGACTAATTTCAAAAAACCAAATATCTCTGGAAGAAACACATGCACAATGAAATCATAAATGACCATACCTCTGGTACTGCAAAATAGATTTTTCAACACAAATAATTGTTTCAAATTCGAACTACAATCCTAATTAATGTAATTATTTATATAAAAAAAAAACTATAAATTTGGGCAGCAGATGATAAGAGTTAAATGCATGCCTCAAAAAATTCAGAGAGAAGGCAAATAGATCCAACAGCTTGTTAGAAACAAAACTCAGAAAAAATGGAATGAATAATTAGAACTGCTAAATATCATGTCCCTTTATTTTATCACAATATAAATATAAAAGTAACAACTCACTGCCAAAATAATTTACAGCAGTTCAACAACGGGTGAGTATGCAGTCATATATCATAATTATAATAAAACAGACAAGGCAGACCAGCCATCATACTGCAACATCGCTATCCTTATAAACAAGAAAGGATATATAAGAAAAAGATGATCAAACTAGATATTGCTGCAAAACAAAGTAAACTGGTTATAGATAACATGATTTCATCGAGTTCAATGCAATCAAACACAATTGGCATGCCACTAGAGTTCAACCATGAGTGAACGAAGAAGCTTTATCAAACCAGACCGACTCCTTCACATTATCTTGAATTGTCCTATATAATGATAACGATAATGATTACAGGTTAACTATTGCTAATACTCATCCACCTAGTGTATACCAAAAACCCCAAATCATGCATTTCCTAGTTTCCCAAAAAGGGTCATTCAAGCACCATGTTATCATACAATCCATATTAATTCACAAACATAACGAAATATGGAATATAAAAAGGCAAAAAGATACCAGCCACTCACCTAATGGCCCATGTAAGGAGCACCAGCACCAGGGTGAGGTCTCACACCACTGTTCTGCCCCATTTGAGGATTCTGATAACCTGGTTGCATTGCAGGTTGGTTCCCATAGCCCATAGCAGGCTGATTCCCATACGAAGCAGGAGGCCCTGCCTGGTTAACCGGCGCACCACCAAGCCCTCCAAGCAGATTTCCAAGCCCCCCAAGTCCAGCTCCCTGATTTGTAAGCAACGCAGTCAAAGCCTGTCCAAGCGCCGGATTCAAACCCTGCGCGGGCACGCCAGGGTTGAAACCCCCGACAGCAGACCCCGAAGGGGCCATCAAATGACCACTACCATGCGAGGGTCCACCGCCACCAGATGAATACTTGTTCTTATCCTTCCTGGAATAGTGAGGCTGATGGTGATGGTGGTGATGAGAATGCTGCTGGTGGTGATACTGATGATACCCCTTGTTCCCCTTAGGACCATCAACAGCCTTCTGGCAATACAAAGTATGCCCCTCAAAGTTCTTATGAGGCTCTTCCAAAGCCTTCTTGGCACTCTCCACAGACTTGTAAACAAACAGAGCAAAACCCTTGGGTTTCCCAGTGTTCTTGTCAAGACCAAGAGGTCCATCCTCAACCTCCCCAAACTGCTTGAAGAATTCAAGCAGCTTCTGGGGCTCAATCTCAGCACTGACATTGCTCACAAAGATCTTCCTCTGGGTGTACTCCGACACCGGATTTGCATTCGGCGGCGGAGCCGGCACCGGGCCGGCGGAGGCCAGCTGGCATGATGTGGTGCGGTTCCCGATCTTCTTCTGGGGATTCTTCAGCGCCTTGCGAGCATCGTCCCTGTGCTTGAACAAGATAAAGGCGTAACCCTTCGATTTGCCGGAAACCTTGTCGGTGACGGCCTTGCAGTCTTCGATCTCGCCGTACTTTCCGAAAACCGAGGTTAGGGTTTCGGCGGTGGCGTCCCAGCCTAGGCCGTGGACGAAGATTTTCCGGTGGGCGGGGTCCACATCGGCGAGCTGGCGAACGCTGTCGACGAATTCAGGGAACTTCTCAACGGCCTGTTTCACGAGCGAGTGAAGCTGCTCCTTCGTGAAGGGTTCGAGAAGCTTCTCCACGGGCTCTTCTTCCAGAGTGAGGTCCTCGTTCTCCTCTTCTTCCTCGGCGCCGTTCGCCTCGGCGGCGTGGTTCGCCTCTTCTAGGGTTTCGGGTTGGTCCTCCTCTAGGGTTTCGGGTTTCTGCTGATCTTCCTCCTCGTCCTCCTCCTCTTCCTCGGGGTTTTGCTCTTGAAGGTGTTGCTCTTCGTGTGCGGGTTCGTCGAGGGACATGGCGTTGGGGTCTTGGAGGGTTGGCTCGGGTTGTGGTTCTTGTTGTTGTTGTTGTTGGAGTTCGACTGGGTCTTGATCTTGCTGGGCTGGCTCGACGGGTTTAGTGGGCTCGGGGTCGGAGGATCGGACCTTTCGTTTCTTGGCCATGGCGGTTGCGGCGAGGAAGTAGGGTTAGGGTTTCGGGGATTGGGGGTGAGTTCGGATTAGGGTTTGATGTGGTGAAGAGAGAAGAAAGGTATCGCGCGATAAGTTAGACGCGGAGTATTCTGAATCACTGCCACTGTCCAGTTATTTATCAGCGAGTGTTAATGGGCCGGGCCGGGCCGGATCTTTTATTCTAGCTGGAGCGAAAGATCTTAGGAGACTTTTGTCGTTTCTGATACTTAACTTTGGTTCATGCACGGAGGATCTACTGTCTATAGCAGTAACTAATCTTCTTGTTATGTTGGAGACACTTCAAATGTAGAAATAACTGGCCCTAAAATTTAACGCGACTCTATATATAAGACAGGATTCGAACCCTCACCTTGCTTTTTTTTTGGTAAAATATGAAAGTTAAAACAAAGTAGACAAACTAAGACATAGAGTCTTTCCCTAACTGAAGCAAAATAAAATCTGGAGGACTCCTCCAAAATACATTGTAACCTAGGTTCCTTACACCCCAATTAGCAAGTGTATGAGCTACTGAATTTATATCCCGAGGAATATGACTTACGTAAATTATCCAATCCCGAGCAAGCATTTGCTGAACACGACGAATAACATCATAGTGCTTGTGCAGGTAATCTCTGTCCGTTGGCCGATCGTGAAACACCGCAACAGCTCCCAGGCAATCACATTCACAAGTCACCTTCCTAAACCCACCCTCCCAACAAAACAATAGACCCTCCTCCAAGGCCAGCAACTCAGCACGTAACGCATCACCATGTAAGGCTCCACGCGAAAAGCCCCCCCGCCACATACCTGCCCAATCACGAATTACTCCACCCATCCCCATAGCCGAAGTCTCCCTCAACCAACTTTCGTCCGTGTTTAGCTTGATCCACGGGTGCTCCGGAGGCCTCCAAAGGGCTTGCTCCTCCTATAAGCGTCTCTTAGCGTTATACACACTGTTCTCCACCGTAGATAGTATCACCTTCCGACGGACCACTGAGATTTGCCAGAGTTCGTCGTTAAAAATCATGTTATTCCTAAAATGCCAGACCCACCACAAGGTTATGGATAGCGTAATAGAATCCTTGTGCAAGATAATCCCCTTCAGCCACTGAAAACAATCCATTACAGAAAAGGACCACCTCACACTGCACCCGCCAGACATCAGCACCTCTCGCGAATATGGGCAATCCCGAAGAGCATGTAAAATAGTCTCATGAGGGCAAGAGCATCGCGAGCATGCACCTGACTCTGCCAACCTCCTATCAGCCCGAACCTGATTCGTTGGGAGGGCTGAATGAAGGCATTGCCATAGAAAGAACTTAACCTTCTCAGGAATCATGATCCTCCAAAGCTTCTTCCAAATTGCATCCCCCTCTGCTGCCAACCCCGGAGTTAGAAAACGATACCCAGATGCCGCTGTGTAGCAACCCGAGATATCACCCCTCCAAGCAAAGTGGTCCAACCCCAAAGGGGAATTGCCAACACTCAGCTGTTGGACCGAGTTTATTAGTTCGGTCGGAAGAACCGTATACAAGGCATTGAAGCTCCATTCTCCACTAACCCAGCAGTCGGCAACCTTTTTATTGGTGTCCGCAATATGAACAAAAGGGACTTTCCCGCACCAAAGCCCATTACCTGACCAGTCCTTGTACCAAAGTGATGAGGCGCCCGATCCTAGATGAGGCTTGAATCCCTCACGGAGTGAGGGAAGGGCCTTAATAATACTCAACCAGATTGAAGAAACACCCCGCTTGTTATGAGCACACAGGATAGAGTCTCCATGTAGGTAGAGGTTGCTGAGGAGTTGAACCCAAGGCTTCTGTGGAGCCGAAAGTAGATCCCAAATTAGCCACAATGATTGCATGCTATATACAGGAATAGAGGAGATGGTGGACTTTACCAGACATAGCTTACCTGCCTTATTAAGAAGCTTGGCCTTCCAAGCCACAAGTCTACTCTGAATCTTATCCATCACATCATAGAAATCTGCACACCTCGGCTGACCATGAGTCATGGGAACACCCAAATACTTCCCGGTCTGAGCCGTGTAGCCAATCCCTAACAGTTCTTCCAACGTATCAATCCTCCTCTGTGAAAATTTCCTAGAGCTCATAAACTTGTACTTAGTCAAGTTGACTTTTAAGCCTGATAAACGCGAAAACTCCTCCAAGATTGATGCCACCTAACGAGCTTGGTCTTCTGAAGCTTGACAAAACAGTAAGATATCATCAGCAAAGAAGATGTGTGAAAGTGGTAACCCCAACGAGCTTGGTCTTCTGAAGCTTGACAAAACAGTAAGATATCATCAGCAAAGAAGAGGTGTGAAAGTGGTAACCCCCCAGGAGATAGCTGAATCGGTTTCCAAAGACCCTCATGGAGCAACTCAGATATCCTAAGGGCTAGGTGCTCCATGCAAAACACGAACAGATACGGAGATAGTGGGTCTCCCTGCCGAAGTCCTCGAGACGGGACAAAGGACGGTAGTGTGCTTCCATTCCAAAGGAGTGAGATTGACGAATTCTTCAACCCCCACATGATAAGTTGAATTATGATTGTAGGAAACCCAAACTGCACCAGCGTAGACTCCAAGAACTCCCACCTGACCCTGTCGTATGCCTTTTCAAGGTCGATTTTTAAGGCCAAGGAACCCACCCCTGAGCCTTCTTTCCGAACGAAGTGAAAGGCTTCCTGAGCAATAATACTGTGGTCACGAGTCCCCCTCCCAGGGATAAAGCTACCCTGGAAAGGACCAATGACGCCCTGCAAGAACGGTCGCAGACGAGCTACAAGCACTTTAGAAATCACCTTCCAGGCGACGTTGCATAAGCTAATAAGACGAAATTCTTTAAGGCTAACCGGGTGGTTCACCTTCGGAATCAACACTACTTGTATCTCCAAGAGTGATAAATCTGAGTACCCCAACCGAAAGGCATCCCTCACTGTCCGCCATAATTCATCACTCACAATTGGCCAGTACTGCTTAAAAAAGAACGGTTGAAACCCATCCGACCCTGGTGCCTTGAAAGATTTCATGCTCATCACTGCCCGACGAACTTCCTCCTTCGTGACTGGTGCAGTTAAAGCAGATCGGGCCTCAACTCCCAAGGCAGGTGAAATCCCAGCATGCATGTCTAGCGGCCCTTGATCTTTATCCGCCGAGAAAAGCTCCTTGTAGAACCTGACTGCCTCAGTTTTCATGACCACAGGGTCTGTATGCCAAGTTCCATCTGGTAAAAACAACCCCTGTATTTTGTTCCTCCGTCTTCTCGCGAGTGTTTGGGCATGGAAGAATGACGTGTTATAGTCCCCAAACTTCACCCACTTCTCTCTAGATTTCTGAAACCATAGATATTCCTCCTAAAGACAAGTTTCATCCAACTCTATTTGTATAGCCTTCTCCAAGCGCGACAGGCTCTCTGAATCCCCTCTCTCTAGTTGTAGTTGTACCCCTTTAAGACGATGTTGGAGAGCCTTCTTCCTCGTAAGGATATTCCCAAACACATCTTCGTTAAACTTGATGGCATCTACTCGAACAACGTGTAGCCCATTAGCAAGGGTCGGCGTGCTACGACACCACGCCTCCCTAACAACTCGCTCAAAATCTTTGTGGGTGGCCCATGCAGCTTGGAATCGAAAGGGTCGATCTGGAGACTTATCTCTTGAGTCGTCCCGTCGTAGTAGAAGTGGACAATGATCAGAATAGACCCGGCACAGATTCTCAACATATGCTTCCGGAAACATTGCTTGCCACTCGACATTACACACTGCACAGTCTAACCGTTTTTCCAGCATAACCCCTCGTTGATTTCGATACCACGTAAAGCGAAGGCCCTTAGCCCCCATGTCGAGAAGGTTGCAATCATTCAAAACCTCTATGAACTGTGACGCCCGTGCCATCGAGAAACGACCCCCACGACACTCCGTTGACAACATAATTTCGTTGAAGTCCCCAAGCACTATCCATGGAAGCGCAATCCGTCCCCCCAACTCCCGAAGATGAGCCCAAACCTGCTGTCTGAGTTCCACCCGAGGATTAGCATAAACGGCAGTACAAACCCAGCTCTTGCTTCCTTCAACAACCGTAAACGAGATGACTTGAGAGTGAGAGGCAAAGTTTGAGGTAGTAGCAGAGCAAGACGTCGCCATCAAAACCCAAATACCCCCGGAGTGACCCGTAGCCTCACTGCTATAGCACAACTTATAATCCATCTTCTTCCAAAAGGATTCCACCGAAGAAAATTGGCAATGGGTTTCCAATACGATAAAAATAGACGGGTGATAGAGCCTTACTAACTCCGAAACCCTCCGTTTTCCTTTGGCATTAACAGCCCCTCTAATATTCCAGCTCAAAATATTAAAACTTGTAGTCATTAATTAACACAAGATACGACAAAAACTCACGCTAACATGGCCTCCTCTTCCAATGATTGGTCATACTGCATGACGTCCTCCTTCCCTGGTATATCTGGTCCACTCTCCTCGGGTTCATGGAATAGGTTGGACGTGCCACGTGTGTGAAGCACACTAGAGACCCAACTCTTATTCGAGACCCCCGTCATCCCAGTGTGCCCATCTCGTGAGTCTCCTAGAGGGGAGTTGACGTGCGCACTATGAGCTATATGAGAAGGCATAACACCGCCAACACCGCCCATGAGATTGGACCATGAGTGAGCACCTAGTTCCTCCACTCGGTTACGTTTCTTGGTCTCTTTATTAGACCCCAATGACTTCGGATTCGCGTGGGGTATATGGCCCACCATTACACAACGCGCCCCTACTACAAGCTTCTGTTCACGTGTATGCATTAACTTCGGATTCTCGTGCAGTACATGGGCCACCGCTGCACTACCCACCTCTACTGCATGCTCTTGTTCACGTGTATGCATTAGCACCTCACGTGGTTTTGTAACACCCTCACTTAACCCAGCCGCAACGTATATTCCCCCCGTAGAGTATATCGGCTTGTCCTGATTCTTCGCATTAACGTCCGCGGTTCCATTATGAGAGGAAGATCTTCCCTTGCTCAGCGATCTTCCAAGATTTGGCTTGCGATTCCTCCGTTTCACGATCAGCCAATCCCCGTGCGGATCTGGAGTGGTTCCCCCCTGACTATGCGGAGTTGAGTTCTCTCCTGTTTCAGCACCTGAACCCGCACTACGCGATGGGTCTCCTGACGGCTGCACCACTGTCTCCTCCCCCACGCCATTCGCCACTGACTCCGACCGAATTGCATGATGACAATTCCTCAGAACATGCCCGTAACAGCCACACGACGAGCACAACAAATGTAAGCCCTCATACTCCACGTTATACCAAACACCGTTAAGGAAAAATCTCCCTACGACTGGTTCGTTCAGGTTGATCTCTACACAGACCCGTGCAAACCTGCCCCGTGTCATGTTCAGAGTATTAAGATCCACCTTGATTGGTTTCCCTATAGCTGAAGCAATTGTTAGGAGAACACTCTCATCGTAGAACATCACTCCAAGACCTGGAAACCTGACCCAGACGGGCGTACTATCCACCTTCGTTGCAGAGGCTACAAACTCCGGGGACCATGGTCTAACAATCAGGTAGTGGTCAAATAGCATCCAAGGACCCCCGTGCATGACCCGATCTCTGTCTGCCTCCAAGTCAAACTTCACCATGAAGTAACCATATGAGACGTCCAGCAACTCGAGACCCCCTTGAACCTTCCACAATGCAGGTAGCCTGTCTCTCAAGGTTAAGAACCCCACATCCTTTCCTAGCAACTGAATCACTAGACATTGTTGCCACGGTTCACACAACTGCTTAAGAGTGGGTGCCGTGAGGTTGAACTTGGGTAGTAGCCGACCTCCACCTTCACACTCCAACGTCATGGCCCCTTCCTTAATAAGATCACGAACGGCCGACCGCTTAACCGGGGCGCCCAATACCTTTTCCTTGAATGTCATTGTCTAGCTCATCTTGCGATCCCCAATGCCCCCATCTGGCGGCTCCGATGGTGGTTAGCTCTCCATAGGCATTCTCCAAACCCTCTCCATTCTAAAAAACGCAACTTTCTCTGTATTTAACCCTGACCTTACTTAAATATGAATCAAAGTAAAATTGATTAAATATATTTTATTCTTTATCTAAAATAAATTAATAAAAAAAAGTTGTTACGCAAAATTTGATCAATTTTACCTGCGATAGTTACATGCGAATCTTTTAACAAAGTTGGTCTCCTTCACGTCATCTGTGAATGTTTTTTTATAAATTCACTTCGTTCCTCAATTAAAATTAAAAATTAGGTAATAAAAATATAATAATTTAATTAATATTTTGATTAATCGATTAATTTTAAGATTTTAAATTTAATAAAAATATATTTTTAAAAAATAAAAAAATATAATAATTAACAAAATGCGAAAATCAAAATAATTATTAAAAGGAATATTTTTTATGTTTTTATTTTCTTTTTTATGATTTTTATTTTTTATTTTTTGTCTATTAGACAATTTTTATTTTACCAATTTTGTTATCGCATATTTTGATTAAATTTTTTTTACTCTTTCAACAATTTTTTAATCAGTCTCATTTTTTTAATTGTTTATAATTATTTTTAGTTACTCTTGATTAAAAGTGTGCAAAAGTTAATTGCACCGATGATTCTTACTCATATTGAGTACAAAATTTTGGCCATTTTTTCAAAATCCAAACTTGTCAACCAAAATTGAAAATATGTGGGATAAAATCAAGTGAACCCATCTTTATTATACTATATTTATTTTAATATTATGTATAATTAAATTATAAAATACAAAATACAAAATAAAAAAATACAAATTTAAAATTAAAGTATATTTTATGATATATATTTTAAAATAAATAATTTTATTATATAACATGACGTCATGAAAAATAATTTTAAAATAGTATTTCTAAGCCTTTGTACTTGTTGATTTTATGACAAACTCGTTGTATAATGTCTTAACTAAGGTTTAATGTTCATAAACTTCACAGCTTTGCTTTACCAGGATACAATATCAAGAATGGATTCAGGGTACATATTATCTAGCTAAGCTGATGTAGTTATTTTTCTGTATTCATCTTTGTTTTGCTCTATTCATGGATTGGAAAAAACATGATCGAAAACATATCATTCATTATTTTTCTTTGCCTTTTCATAACGCTCTTTATTTATGATTAGTAGTATCATTCATGGTGAACTCTTTGAGGCTTCTGAAGAAGTCTAAGGGGTCTGAGTTAAGATAGAATTAATTACATTTCAAAGCATGTTATAATTTGTTACAATGGAGAGTTAGTTCAAAGCATGTTTTACTTAATAAAAATAGTTTTTAATCATTGTAAGCGAAAAAATAAACTTAACAAAAGTACGTTTAATCAGACAAGTTTATTAGTGTGTTTGATTCGGTGTCAATAACGTGATTTTTTACGTTAAATGGAAAGTAAATAGTTTTAACTTTCACGTTTCAGACAGAATTGACGTGAAAATATGTTATAAAACGCTAAAACAAACACGCACTATGTCGGCCACATTCTGGAAGTGGAATCATTCAAAGGCTCTGGGAAAGAACTAATATTTATAATGTTATAGTAATTGAAGCGTGAGTAATTCAAGTGATAGATGCTTATCCTTCATAAACAACATCATGGGTTCTAAGAGAACTATGTTGTTTTACAAATTAATTATATCATAGCAGGGCAAATATATATATATATATATAT